ATACGGTGGTGAAGCACTGGCTAGAGCGCTGCACTGGGTAATTGCCAAGATTTGGGAGGAGGAGATATTACCGGAGGAGTGGATGGAAGGTGTCGTATGCCCAATCTACAAAAAGGGCGACAAGTTGGATTGCTGCAACTACCACGCGATCACACTGCTGAGCGCCGCCTACAAGGTACTCTCCCAAATTCTATGCCACCGCGTGTCACCATTTGCAAGAGAGTTCGTGGGGCAATACCAGGCGGGATTCATGGGTGCCTGCGCTACCACGGACCAAATTTTCGCGATTCGGCAGGTTCTGCAGAAATGCCGCGAATACAACGTGCCCACACATCATTTGTTCGTCGATTTCAAATCCGCATACGACACAATCGATCGAGATCAGCTATGGCAGATTATGCACGAGTACGGATTTCCTGATAAACTGACACGATTGGTTTGGATCGAGTGATGTGCGTCCCTTTGAATCTCGAAGGGGGTTACGGCAAGGACTTTCGTGTCTGCTATTCAACATCGCGTTAGAAGGTGTGACCAGAAGAGCTGGGATAGACACGAGTGGCACAATCTTCAGGAAGTCCATCCAGCTCCTTGGCTTCGCCGATGACATTGACATTATGGCACGGAACTTTGAGACGATGGTGGTAAAGTACATCAGACTGAAGACTGAAGCTAGGAGGATTGGACTTGCCATCAACGCATCAAAGACAACATACATGAAAGGAAGAGGTTCTAGGGAAGACAATGTTAGCCTCCCACCCCGAGTTCAAATTGACGGTGACGAAATCGAGGTGGTCGATGAGTTCGTGTATTTGGGCTCACTGGTGACCGCCGAAAATGATACCAGCAGAGAAATTCAAAGGCACATTATGGCAGGAAATCGTGCCATTAGAGGACGCTCTGGTCGAATAAAATTCGCCGCCGCACGAAGTTGACTGTCTACAAGACGCTGATTAGACCGGTGGTCCTCTACGGCCAAAAATCTGGACTATGCTCGTGGAGGCCCAACGCACCCTTGGCGTATTCGAGCGGTAGGTGTTGCGTACCATCTATGGTGGAGTGCAGATGGATGACGGAACGTGGAGGGGGCGAATGAACCACGAATTGCACCAGCTGCTGGGAGAACCATCCATCGTCCACATTGCAAAAATTGGGCGACTACGGTGGGCTGGGCACGTCGTAAGAATGCCGCACGACGACGCAGTGAAAATGGTTCTAGAAAGTGACCCAACAGGAACAAGAAGGCGTAGAAGGCGACCTGCGGACCCTTCGCAGACTACTAGGCTGGCGAACTGTGGCCATGGATCGAGTAGAGTGGAGACGACTTCTTCGGACAGCAGCGGACAACAAGGCCTTAGCCTGATTGGTAAGTATGGTAAGTCGATTTATATATAAATATCTACCCAGACAACCAGAAATAATATTGTACAGAGAGAAGTTTGTCAACTTGAATCTATGATTATAGATTAAATCGTTCATGATGTAAAATCAAATTATCTATGAAGACATTAAAATGTTTATGAATATGGCCATCATGAACAACTTCGACATACGTGCATTCTAGTTGTCTGAGTACTATAAATAATAAATAAATGGCAATATTTCTGTTACCCAACAAATTGTTTTGCTTAAATGTGCTTGACATTATAATAGAATTTTTATTTCTCTCGGAATTTTTATGAATAATTGCATTTTGTGTGAGTTGCAGTCGAAGAGTCTGAGTCGTAGTCGGAGTCGGTTAGTTTCAAATCAGAGAAGTTGAAGTCAGAGTCGAAGTCGATCGATTTTCATCCGACTCCACAGCCCTGGTGCACCACCAATTTTACCAAAAACTGTAGGATAACTATTAAATTAAATAGCAACTACAGTACACTGTCCATATCTCGATATAACCGAGATAGAGCCAAATCCAGCCAAGCAATCATATTGTTGCTTATATTCAAAAAGCATTTTTCATACTTTCAAAACATTTCTTAATATAAGGAGTGAATGATTTCGCATTGGAATACGATTGCAACATTTTCCAAGTCCAAATAAAATTTCCCAATTCTCCTTTCATGTGCTTGCCATGCACAGCATAAATATTTATTTAAATTACACCAAATTGAATCGTACAAACCCAAGGGCCACTAGCACTCACCCTGTTCCCAAACTCCAGACAGCTTGGGTCATGTCGTCTCACTCTTTTCTTCGCTCCGGTCCAGAACGAAACTGTTTTAAACCCGCTGATTGTATTTGAATTCAACAAAGTCCACATTGGCGCTGGGAGGAGACGCCACAGCCAACAGCACTTGAGCACGGTTGAGGAGACAGACTGTGGAAGGAAAGGAATGAAAAAGAAAAACAGCACGGTATTCTCGCTCTTCCAGCGTGGAAGAAAGCTTGTCGAGATTTTGTTAGTAAGTGATTCAATTATTCAAATTGAATTAAAATCCAAAGCAAAAGTATTTCCTTCGGCCGGGGGAGGAAGGCGCCACGAGCTGTGACGAACCGGACTTGTGCCCGTGGTCAGTGCAGAGTTTTGGCCATCCCTTGGAGTGGTGAGTCAGAGTTCATGATGGTGCTGAGAGTGAGAAAAGAAGTAGGACAATAATGCTAGAAAGAATAAAAGATGACAGGCGAAACTGCTCTGGAGAGTGGTTTTAACATTTCTAACGAATTGAAAGAAGTGGATGAAGGTTTGAGGTGCGTTGTTTTTAACGCTCAGTTAATCCTGACTGAGTTATTTGTCTTTCTGTGAAAGTTTGGACTTGCGTTTAAGTTTGACGAAATTTCTAGGATTTAACTGCAATCTCGGGGCAAAAAAATGATCCAATTTGAAAAATCGTTAATACAAACTAACACTCAACGGCCGGATAAACATCTTTTCGATCCAGTGTTCATTCAAAACCATAAGGCATGAAAATCTAAGTAAAGCGACAAAACCACAAAACAGCCACCAACCAACTTCCACCCCCTGAGGCGGCAGTAGTAACGAAAGCGATCCCTGGAAAATAAAATTTCAATTTAGCAGCTGTGAGAAATTATCTTCTGTTTTCATCGGATATTCGTCCCTTGAATCCAGTTCTCGGTCGAATGTGGGCCACCAAGCGACAGCATCACAATCCCCCACAAAGCTGGATGGAAAGTCCCTAACCGAAGCAGCTCAAAGTAGGTTTTCCCTATTTTCACGCTGAATTTGTGTGACATACATATACAACAGTGTTAGTCGGGCGGGTAGGGCTTCGCTCGCAGTATTCACCCAATTTTCTTTTTTTGCATTTGTTGCCTTTTGCAAATTTCGTCGGGTCGGGTGGTGTGAGATGACCAGTGATTTTTCGGAGTTGGTGCTTCGCTCGTTTTGGCCCTATCGTAGTCGTTTGCCAGATTTAATCAATATTTATTGGATTCAAGTTGTTTGGGTGTGGCATGCCCTTTTGACGGGGAAAATGGAGAGACGGACTCTTCATCGTTCGCTGGAGTACGGCACAGTAATTGATATTCTACTAGCTGTCAGGGCTGATTACTTAAAGCGAATTTGGAATGCTGGCTTTTAAGATGAGAGATATATTTAGAATACGTGAAATGGTTGCGGTTTTCATGACATTTTAGGAAATTTATGAAGCGATGTGGATCCTTATTTAATAAAATCTTTTACTATGGAGGATAATAAATATGATTCCATAGGCTCATAAGATCTGTAGATTTGATTGCAGTTGTATCTTCAGAAACAATGCATACCAGGTATATCAAACGGGATAGTTAACATTGACATAAAATTGTTTGCTATTCTTTACTGATCGAGCATGAGAAAATGAGCACCACCGAAACAAAGCAACCATTCACGGTTGCCAAAAGGTTACAAAACGACAGTACACTCATCCAAGCACGTTCATTTCCCGAGTAAGAGAAAATAACTTAGGAACATTTTGGTATTTGGAATGACCAAAATTTGGTATTGATAAGCCTGAAATAAAAGGTGAAATGCCTGTGTGGTATTGTTTTGGAATTACATTTGCATAGTTTTGTATTGGAATGGTATTGTAGGAACCTTTTTTTTTGTATTAATTTAAGGCATCGAGATATTCGTTCCGGCTCGGGTCGGAGCTTACAGAAGTAAAACGAAACAGATGAGAAACTGAAACAATGCTAAAACCGGTATCTAACCATTGCACAGTGGTTGAAATCGGTATTTTCGTGCGCTTAATTAATAGCTCCTTTATCATGAAATTAAGAGATATGGTGTCTTGAGGAAAGTGTTTCAATATGTTACTGTGCTTCTTTTGGTGTTTTTAGTTAAATGATTAATCCCCCTAAAAGTGATATCGAAAATTTATTTTTTCAACTATTCAAGATACAGGGTTGGTGTCTTGGACAAAGTTGTAGAAATTTTTTTTTTACAAACAACTTTGCTCAAGACGCTTAATTAATATCTTTTTTACTTTTCAAGAAATGTGACGTTTATTGCCGACGGTCCCTAAAAAATAATTTTTTCATCATAACTTTTTGGTCTACATTTTTACGACTTTGCCATGTTCTAGTAAGTTGTAGATAATAACACAATACATAATATTGTATAACATCGATTTTTGTATAATGCCGATTTTAACCACTGTGCATTGCTAACCCAATTGAATGCGCAACGGTAAAAATCTACTATCAGTGATTGTGCGCACCGCCGAGCACTGGTCACATACCCTGCGCCGTGCCGTACCTGTGGAGCGCAATGAACGTTGCGCCTAAACGTCAATGATGGAACGGGTGGAAACAAAGCGAATGAGAGTGTGAGAGAGTAACATAAATAAAAACAAACAGTGACTAGCAAATCGATTGTAAGCAGTGTAATTAAATTAATCAAATATTTGCACCACGGATCAAACTATCCCTCGAACGTCGAACTCAAAAACTGTTCCAAATATTTGATTAATTTAATTACACTGCTTACAATCGATTTGCTAGTCACTGTTTGTTTTTATTTATGTTACTCTCTCACACTCTCATTCGCTTTGTTTCCACCCGTTCCATCATTGACGTTTAGGCGCAACGTTCATTGCGCTCCACAGGTACGGCACGGCGCAAGGTATGTGACCAGTGCTCGGCGGTGCGCACATACCCCCTCCCCGTAATTCTGGTGATGGTCCCTCCATGGAGCCAGATTTACTATCCTGGATTTCCAGCACCGTCAATTTCGTTACCGGGCGCCTGTACTCTCCTTTCGCCGTCTTCACCAACGCCTGCCTAATCCTTCCATCTGCTCCTGGGTAGACTTCCAACACCATGCCCCGTGTCCAGCTCTTCCGCGTTCCTTCGTCTGCGATGTAAACCAGGTCTCCACCACTAACTGGTTGTGCCTCCGAATGCCACTTCGATCGCTTGTTGATCGTGGGCAAATATTCCGACACCCATCTCTTCCACAGCTGATCTGCCAACGCTTGGGACCGTTTGAAGCTGTCCCGCAAAGCTTCTGCTTCATTTGTTTGGGGAACCACTTCCGCTTTACCAATCGCCCCGATTCCCTTCACAAAATGGTTCGGCGTGAGGGCTTCTCCCGCATTCGGTGCGAGACCACAGTACATCAGGGGACGAGAGTTGATCAGGTCTTCAGCCTCCGCCAACACAGTCAGCAACACCTCGTCCGTCAATCGTCGTCCGTCGTTGAGCACCTCCAACGCTGCTTTCACCGAGCGAACCAACCGCTCCCAAATACCGCCCATGTGAGGTGCACTTGGAGGATTGAAGTTCCAGCGGGTCCTGGAATCCGTCAACTCTTCCTCGCAGTCTCCTTCGATCTTCTGCATAATTTGCTTGCTGGCTCCCTGGAAGTTTTTGCCGTTATCCGAGAAAAACTCGATCGGCTTGCCTCTTCAGCAAACGAAACGTCGGATGGCCATCAGGCACGACTGAGTGGACAAGCTATGAGCGACCTCAAGATGGATTGCCCTCGTTGCTAGGCAAGTGAAGAGACAAATCCACCGCTTTTCCGATCGACGTCCAACGGTAACAGTGATTGGCCCACAGTAGTCAACGCCAGTGAAGCTGAAGGGCTGTAAACCTGGAGTAACTCGCGCCAATGGAAGTGGAGCCATTCTCGGGATTTTCGGAATACACTTTCTCACTCTGCACCACACGCACGCCTTTGCCACTGTTTTCAATTCCGTCCGAAGATTTGGAATCCGGAAACGCTGTCGGATTTCATTTACAGCAGTCTCCGAATTCGCATGAGCTGCTTGCTGATGATACCCAACAAACAATTTTAGCTGCAGCTTAGCTTATACAGGCAATAATTAGCTGCATAAGGCAAATTTTGGCTGCATAAGCTAATCTGCAGCTAAAATTGTTTGTTGGGTAGTACTCCAGCAATCTGATCGTGATTTGATGCTTTCTGGGCAAGATGATGGGGAATCTGAGTTCAAATGGAAGAAATGAACCCTGAGCCGCTCTGCCCTCCATTCGTAGCACATCTTCCTCGTCCAAGAATGGGCTGAGGTCGTACACACTGCTGTTTTTCTCCAACGGATGCCATTCGGTGTACGGAAGCTCTCGGTTTTTTAACAGGATCTTGATTTCTTCCCCGTAAAACTCCGACTGCGCAGAGAACGCCACAGGTAGGCTTCAGCACGTTGAAACTCCTCTCGCATCAGTGGAACCACCACCGCTTGTACAGACCGCTTCACCAATCGTTGCACCCTTGCTGGTGCCGACACCGTTTCAATCGCCAAGCCTTCCCGTTTTCTGATGCAATTGGACGTGAACCGGTACATGCACGCTACCGTTCTGACCAAAACTTTCCAACGCGAGAAACGCGTCGCATCTACCACGGACTCCTCTATCGAGACATCATGAATCAGATGACATGCTCGGACTTCTTCTGTGGTATTCGGCTCCACGCTGTCTTGCTGCGCCCATTCTTCTTCCGGCTGATACAGGAATCGCGGGCCTTGGAACCATGGACCATTCGAATCCAAACTGCTTCCCTTCTTCCACTTCGTTAGATCATCGGCAATATTGCTCTTCGTAGAGATCCACCGCCACTCACTGTGTTTCGTGAGACTCAGAATTTCACCAATTCGAAAGGCTACGAATGGTTTGTATCGGCGCTGCTCCGACTGAATCCACGAAATCACCGTCCTTGAATCGGATCAGATGAACCTTTTCTTCACGTCCAACGAATGAGCCTCGATCACGGAATTCATTAGCCTGGATCCTACGACTGCTGCCTGCAGCTCGAGACGTGGAATTGACAGCATCTTCAACGGTGCGACCGTCGACCTCGCCATCACCAGGGAACACAACGGCCCTTCGTCGGTCAAAGCGCGAAAATACGCAGCCGCACCGTACGCGTCTTGACTGGCATCGACAAGAACGTGGAGTTGGAGGGAGTTATAATCGACGGAACTGCATCTTCGGAAGTAGTAGCGTGGGATCTTCACGTTCTCAACCTCTGGAAGTCAACTGATCCACCGATTCCACTTATCACAGCAATCGCCGTCGATCGGTTGATCCCAATCGCTGCCACTACGCCACAAATCCTGGATTAGGATTTTTCCGTGAGTGGTGAACGTTGCTAGCATTCCAAGTGGATCAAACAAGCTCATGACGCAGCTCATGATTACTCGTTTGGTGGGTCTTCGTTCTCCCGATATGTACGGCATCAACTCGTCCCGTAGGTTTGGTAAAAACGTGAACTCGTCGCCATTCGGACACCAAGCTATGCCCAAGACTCGCTCTAGGCTCGTTCCCTTATCTTCCGTGAACTGCACACATTTTGCAGCCTTTGGTTCCCCCATGCTCTGGAGAACTTCGTTGGAGCTGGCCACCCAGTTCCGGATTTCGAAACCGGCTTTTGAGTGTACGTACCTCACATCCTGCGCTCGTTTAACTACCTGCTCTACTGTGTCCGTGCTGTCGAAGTAATCGTCAACCTAATGGTTCTCCACGATCGCCTTTGCCGCTTCCGGAAACTGCACTGCATACTCTCTCGCTTTGAGGTTCTTAAAGAATTGGGCGGAGCATGGCGAGCTCGTCGCACCAAACATCGTCACATCTATGATGTAGACCTCGAATTCCTCCGCTGAACTTCCTCGGAAGACGAATCGTGACCGCTTATCGGCTTTACGGACCATCATTTGAAGATACATCTCCCTGATGTCACCTCCAAAACCCACTTCTCGCTCACGGAACTTCGATACGATTATTTCGGAAGCTTGTCGAGGATTCCGGAAGGAAAAAGGCAGAAAGGAGAACGAGGGATTTCTGCACACGCACGGTGCTGATGTAAACAGCGAAAGAAGCCAGTCATCGAGTTCGCAGCAGAGAGAGAAGAAACCCTGCAGGATATGCGGTCGTCTTGATCATCGGATCCGGAACTGTGAGACGTTTAGAAGACAACAGCGAACAAAGCGAATGAGAGTGTGAGAGAGTAACATAAATAAAAACAAACAGTGACTAGTAAATCGATTGTAAGCAGTGTAATTAAATTAATCAAATATTTGGAGCAGTTTTTGAGTTCGTCGTTCGAGGGATAGTTTGATCCGTGGTGCAAATATTTGTCTTGCTAAATAAACATTCGGATGTAAGTAAAACAAATTCATCAATAGGAAATAAATAAACATTTAGGTTTATTTCGTAGTGGACCGTGGAAAGATTATACTGCGGTGAACGTAACCTGCAAAGATAGAAGTGAAATCAGGAAACAATAAATGTAAGGTGAATTTAATTATAAAAATGAACTAAAACTAATAACAATAAATTTAGTTTCAAGCTGCTGTAAGATACAACACTGCTGTGGAAATTTGTTTCGAAAATTGGTCCGAACCCAGTGCGAACAGTGATAGAGTCAGTCTTTTTCGCAGTTATAGATTTAGTTGGATTAATGCATTTATTTTTCAAAAAAAAAATATACACTACCTTTTTCCTTATCAGAGATTTGAATAGATTTTTCTCCTCTACTTTACTAAGACCTTTGGTTATTATTAGTTTGATAGGTTTCGATTCTACACTGTTGGAGATAGGAATAAGAATTTTGTTAATATCAATCCAATTAGTTAAGTGTTGAATTACCATTCCAAATGATACGGTCTGTTATTGAGTTGCGAGCAGAGAGAGGGAGAGAATTTTGTATTACGATAACGACCGATAGATAGCCGATGGTCACTATCACATTAGGAGATAAGGGACGAAAAAATTTATGTAAATAGTTTAGTTACAAAATACAATACACGTCGAAGGAAACACTACCTACATCATCTGTTTCTCTGGTCGGTCGATGACAAAGTGATTAAGTGTGCATTAAAGTTCCCCCGTAAGAAGGGACTTAGTGACCGGTGGTTCAGTTTTGGGCAGTTATTACTGCAGAGTTCATCTCGGTGCTAGTTATCTACTAGCGAAGGAAGTTTTTCTTGTGCGGCAAGACGTCTATCGTTAACATACACATTGTAGTTTCATTTTTATACCTGTGATCTTGACATTATTACCTAGGGGATGAGTACTTAAAGGAGTTAGGTTTTTGATGGGAATGACGCTGATGATACCAACATTATTTAAGTGGAATTAAATGGCCCTTTTTTGCTGTTTTATATACACTGCCGCTCAAGGCAGGTCCGTCCCATAGCACAAATCAGCAAGCTTAAAAAAGACGTAATTTAGGTTTGCTACGTACCATTGCTAACTTTCCTTAGTTTTCTAAGACAAAGTTGTTGAGTTCATCCACTATTATGAAAGTATCGATGATCAGCTTACTTTTCCATTGAAAAGACTCAGTTCTGATAAAAACTTAAATAGGACCAACAGCGTAGAACGGCTGTACAGGTACTGAATACCGGACAGAGCATCTAGAACACTTAGTTGAGACCACTCAATAAGCTTGAAACGCGAAGATTTTTTTTATATATAGGGGAAATGGCTCTAATGTTGGCCTATGGATCTAAGATTGGGCCCATCACTAAAAGTCTGCTATTAATCAATTTTATCTAGATGAACGCATCGTTGAGACGGTACTAAGGGTTATTTTTGGTCGCTATTGAAAATTTATTCGATTATTAAATTTATGTATGGACCCAAATTATGCCGACATTACATCCATTTCCCTATATCTTTATTAAGGTGACTTTCAGCCCTGAGCTGGTTTGTCTCTGCAACTTCGAAGAAGAAGAAGAAGAAGAAGACCTTTCAATCCGGACATTTAATTATTTATTTTATTAAATATTACATACACTTGGCAACATAATAATTTTGTTAGAAGAGCATGGACAATGGATCATAATAAATTTAGTGTGCCATTTGGTTCATATGTGGCCTTGATTATCAACTTTAAAAAGTGTCCGAAATAATGGACAAATTAACCGGATATCGGTGCATTACGGTACATTTAATTGCCCTCAACTATCTCTTTGACTCCAAAAAGATTGCGCGGACAGTTTTGAAACATGAAATTGTCTTTTCCCCCTGTGGAAAAACTACAAAGGACAGCCCTATAGGGTTGTAAGCAATGGTGACGTAGAACTACGTGGTCTTATGTAATAAATCTTATGTGTTAACTGCAACAGGAGCTTGTGTTGTGTGTAGGAATAGGAATTTGAGCGGGATTCTCTCTGTTTATACTCTTTAGTATGACACGCTTGGCATAGATGTCCCACAGCGACTCACGAAGAGCTACTGATTCCGATCAATAGCGGTGCGGCTACTTCCTCTTTCTATGGATGCTCATGTGGACTGCAGCTCGCTGCTTGCAGGCAGCCTTTCGTTGTGTACTGGAGAACACCACCACTCACCACGAGGTGATTGAATAAACACTGTTTGC